GTGAGTATAGTTTTATTAGGTGGGGAGTGTTGCTTTGTGAGTGCATGAGTGAGACGTGGGAAATTTCCACTAGGGATTTGCCTGTGAAGCAAGTACAGTAGGACCTGACCATGGTTCCATTGTTTGCCCATGTGAGGTGGGCGTTTTTTTTGTAGAAGAAAGGTTTAAAGGATGAAATAGATGTCTTACAACACAAAAGATATTCTCCCCAAAGTCCAAAATTCACACCAAAAGTGCCATTCTGCTGTTACCTTTGAACTACAAAAAGATATTGGGGCTGCATATTGTCTGAGGTCATAGGGTCCTCATCTATGACTTAATGGATATAATGACCAGGTATCTACTGTTTGAAGAACTGTCAGAAAGCACAATTTTGTTTGAAAACATCCTCAATTTTAGGAATTGACAACAGCTAGCAAGATCAATGGAAAGTGACTAGGAGGAAATCTAGTCATCTTTTATCTTCTAAAGAATTTGCTAGTCTGTCTTGTTTAAATATAAACTTATAAGGGAGAACTCTGAGGTTATGAACAATAAACTGAGCAAGTGATCAGCTTGGTCAATCTAGTTGATCATGGTGAGATATACAATAAATCATAAATTGAACAGACCTCAGTGAACTTTGGGCATGAGAGATAAAAATCTGCTGAATCTGAGTTTTGTCTATATTTCAGACAATTAATGGACTTTGCTCCAAATGTTTGTTTGGTGAATCAGTCCAAATAAAATTAACTGATTACCCTCAAAAAATGGAGCTCAATATTGTTTACTACACCATTTTTTCTTCTGCATATCTGTAAACACATATCTGATGCTGTCAGTGGCTATCTTGGCCTCTTTGAGTTCTCTCTGTTCATTGTCTTGTACCTGTATGAAATGACCTTCACAAATGTTGGTAAGAAATAATTTGTAAAATAATTTGTAAAATTGAAAAAAAAATTGTAAAAAAAAAATAAAATTAATAAATCATGTCTTCAAAAGCTCAGGCAGTTTTGAATGCTCCAATAGAGGGAACACAACCATTAATTTAAAAAATCAATTCATCAGTGATGAAGGCCTCACACTATCATATATTTTTAATGCCAATGAAACTGATTTGTAGGTTAATCCCCAGGAACACCCAGTCCTTCAAACATTATTGATTACTTATTTACTCAAATGTAAACCGATTCACAATTATACTATGCCAATTATAGCACAAAGATTAAAACAATAAAACAGAATTTGACAGCAATTATCTCCTCTCATGCCAAAGTCCAAAATCCACACCAAAAGTAAAAAAAAAAAAAGAAACTTCAGAGAGAATCCAGTTACACTATTCCCCAAAGGCCTGCTGGAACATAACTCTAGCATGAAAAGTCAGCAAGGAAAGATCTTGACACTAGCTTGTACTAACATCAGTGTGTTGCATATATTAACATCAGTTATTTTTGACAAGTCATGTCATCCAAGGGTATTATGCATCAACTGTTAATTATAAATGATAATTCAAAGAAGGCCTGGTTTACATCAAAAGTTTTTCATAACTGGTTTTTCAATTATTTTGTGCCAGAAAATATCACTGAAAATATCAGATAAACATGAATCTCTCCTAATTCTAGACAATGCTTCTGCTCATATGAAGATATATTGTTAATCAAAGATGAAAATATTCAGTATGTGGTTTTGCCAAAAATACAACATCAATCATGTATCCCATGGTGCTGGCATTTATTCTGGCAGCTAAAAGATTTTACAGTAAGAGATTTTTAGTTGCATTAGAGAAAAATCTGATAAGGAAAGAAACATACAGCAGCAATGTAACTTACAGTACCTCAAAAACTACTACTTAAAGCCAGCTATCTATCTTTCTTGCAGCTTGAATTTCAAATTTGGCAAATTGCTGGGAAAAACTCATTTATGGTATGCATGCTGACCTACTGTATATTTGACAGATGTGAAGTTAGTAACTAACAAAAAGGAAGCAACTGAGGAAGACGTCATACAATGATTAGAAGAATTTGAAGGCCATCCTGGATATCAGGTGAGATAGGGAAAGACATATGGCTAGCAGGAAGATGCTGAAAGCAACAAGGATGAGCAGTCAACTCCTCATATCAAGATTTCTGTGTTGAAATCCCAGGATCGTTTATGGATGTTTCTAATTCTCTCATCCTTAAATATACAAAGATAAGTGCTATTGTGATGACTTACTATTATATTATTGTTATTAGAGTAAAATATTATTTGTACAGTAATCTCCTGTTTTGAGATTGTTTGGCCCAAAAATTTCATTAGCTATATATTGGACTTTAGCCTTAAGGGATATTCCTTCTCCCTTTTTAGGTCATTAAACCTAGGGTTTAATGGTTTTATTTCTATTTAAATTACAGTAATTCTATTAATGGTAATAGAATCACTATTACAGATGTGTCATTATCTTAAACATTATAAGACTGCAAATGTTCATTATAATACTACCACTATATTATATCGTATTATAAGCTTCATGGCATGGCTGTGCTACTGTTTAAACTAGGGTATCATTTGAGTAAAAATGTTATCCATCTTCTATTTTTTGTATGACTTAAAAATGTCCACATTATTCTTTTCTTTTTTTTTAATGGGTTGCACACCTGTCTAAAAGGAGCAATATAGAATATATCAAGGCAGAACACTGGATATATGTCAAATTGAAAAGTACTGTTCACTTGATTAGAAATCCATAACCTGCTTTTTAATTGGGATTTAAGTAGTGGTTCTCTCACCATGGACTCCCTCCTCATACCATAGGTTCTGCTATGGTATAATGCTAAAATGAAAACACGGAATGTTTAATCTATATTTACATAAATTGGACTTTTGTGCTAGAAACTTCAATGACCAATTAGCATTCCCAGTGTAACTTTGAAAAGACCCAGATACTACAAAACTTCTAAAAACAGTCTTTCCTAAATTTGGGAATTCATAGGCAACATGCCCAAACCTAGAGACTGCTGCTCCTAGAATAACCTGACAAATGCTGGCAGTCAGTTCTGAGAGTTACAATCCAAACACGTATGAAGGAAACCGTATTGGGAAGGCTAATCCCAAATGACTTGGTATTAGCACATAGCATCTTTGAGCAAATGGCAGGGCTTCCTGTTGATGCCAGCAATAGGTTCCCTATTTTTTTTTAACTCAGAATTTCTAGCATTATTATGCAACTGGATTGAGCCTTCTTTTTTTTTTTCCCCATGTGTTTCTGAAAAGCATCCTATTGGGCTTTGAGATTCCTAAGACAAACAATTTGCTGAGCATCAATATTTGTAAAAAAAAAGGAAAAGAAAAATCTAGTGGGCAGGTGTCAATTATAGGACCATAGAAATCATTTAATTTTGGGTTCTTCAGCCAGCGAAGAATATTCTTTGTGTGAATAATACACAAAATGGACCCTGGTTTACAGCAAAAATATTGTTTGTAAGGCTTATTTAGAACACAATGCTTTCAGTATTTGAAAGGAATTAAGGCAGAAGTGATATTTTTAGTTCTGCAATAACCTTCTCAGAGAAACTCACTTGACAACAATTTATTTCTAGAAAATGTTAACTTTTTAAAAAAAGAGCAATTATCTCTGCTGTCTGCTGTCCATTGTCTGTTTTATTTATATCTTGCCTTCCTGCCCAGGCCATGTTCTCTCACGATGCCATCTAAACTCTGATTGGTTAGTTTATAGTCAGTGTCTTGTGGAAAAACAGCTACTGTTTTAACTTGCTTGCTTCACTGATTCTGTCATTAGGCATTATGCACATTCTTCTGTGACTTTAGTTTACATTTTTATATACAGACTTCTAAAATGTTTGTAAGCTATCCTGGGAAACTTGTGATTTAAATGAAAAGCTGCAGCCCCTCCTTGAAGTTTGGTGATCTTGAAAAAGCTATGCAGGGCAATCTTAGCTTGTATGGGATAGAGTCTAAAGGAAGTGCCCAGGCTGCAGACTAGATTGGGAAACAGAAAAAGCAGAACAGAAGAACACAATATGCTGTAAAATCAACTCCCTGTGATTGCCAAGATTGCAACAGGTACTCATCATGAGTACTCATATTTTCTTGGAAAAAATAAAGGACAAACCTGAAAGAGGTTCATAAGCATTTAAAAAAAAGTTGTTTATGTTCATAACTTTGCTTTTCAAAGGAAAATTCAAGAGCAAAACCGATAAAATAAATAATTAAATAAATTGAAAGGACAGCTTTCTGAAATAAAGGACTGTCCTTTATAATAAACGATGTACGGTCACTGTAATCAAGTGTCAAGCACAGTGGAAGGAAGGCTTACATGTATAGGAGAAATTAATTAATCAATTAATTAAATAGAAATAAAGTGCTAACAAATTCTAGTATTTAAAGCAGAGATGGACAATATACAGCCCTCCAAAAAAGTTTGAACTGCAGGCTTCCCTTATCAGTGCTAATTAGGGATGATGGGAATTGGAGTCCAATAACATCTGGAGGGTCACAGGCTGCACAGACTGTTTTTGTACTGCATTGTTTAATTAGTAAAGGAGATTTCTTCATTTCCTTTTCATGAAAACACTGAAGTGAGAGTGTAATGTAAATTCTTTCCTATTTATGTATTTGTTTTAAAAGCACTCTGAGCCAAATATTAGGCAGGGGTATGTACACTCAGAGAAGAATCTCATCTGGAAATTCTCTGAGAAGGTCCATTAGACTGAAATGCTTATTGATGTAGTTCCTTATGTGGCTTTTGGCTACAATTACTTTTCCTCAGCCTGAAACAGAAAAAGCATGGCCAGTTTTCATTATTCGTTATTTCCTCTTAAAGCTTAGGATGCAAATGTCACATCTGTTTCAGAGGAGACGCCTAATCTGGGCCATATAGATTAGGCACTGTTTCCATGGCAACAGTTGGGGAGGGAAATTTAGCTCTCTGCAGTTTCCACAGAAACTGCTCCCTGCTGAGACAGGTGCCTTGGAGGGAAAGGAAATGAAAGGGGTCACGTGGCCGCTGCGGCGGGCGAGCTCTTTGCATGCCTGCTGTTTTCCATGCAAGGAGCGGGGTTTGCTTTCCCTGTCATGTAGATGACTTCGGGATCCTCTTTGCCTGGGCCTACGTGGAGGTGCTTTGGTTGGGAAACGCCACATTCCGGGAGAAATCTGAGCACATCGGCTGTTAAGTTCCAGCAGTTCACGAATAGTTTTTACATGGAGACATTTTATCGGTAAATGAAAGCTCCTTGTTTTACGCTTCTTTTTCTAAAGAGCCAGCAAGTAAGAAAGGGGATTCAGGACAGGAGATTCTTCTCTGTTGGTGGCTCTTTTGCATTCATAAATTAAAATGCATGCTTAGGAAGCACATTTATGTAGTCAGTGGAGATGTATTTGGGAATGGTTTTGCTCTCGATTAATATAATGCTTAATTTATTTTTTAACATGTCCATTCCATGTCAAGTATGTTTGTAAGATGTAATAGCACGACCCTTTCGTTTAAATAATACAGCATTGTGGTTTCATTCGTTCTAGTTCTCAAAGAGGCAAAATGTGGCATCTCACTAAAGGCTTAGTACTGGCAGATGCACACACCGGCTATTTATTTTTTTCCATCCTCTTTATGAAGCAAACCTCCCAACAGAGGTGATTACCTCTGGCAGCTGTGTGGTCCGTGCAAAGGGAAAAGCAGCAAGTAGAGAGAGAGAGAGGAGGGAGGAAGCATGCACTTAGCAATGAGAGGCTTTCAGATGGCGACCTCCTTTTCCCGGCCCTGGGCTTGTAAAAAGTCGCCTCGAAAGACCTTTTCTCTCTTTTTGTAATTACAATATTAATCACCGGATTAGGGTACAGATCTCAAACTATTGCAAATGTTTTGGCCGTGAATATTCGGCGCGACATATTCCGGCCATGAAAGCCTTTGACAATATATTGCAAATGGGTTTGTGGTTTCTTTGCTGTTTTTTAGATTGCTAATTAAGGGTAGTATTTCGGTTTGGATTCTCTCCTTACCCTGTAACAACTTTAGTGTTCTTGTTGAAAGAGCACTGGCATGAAAGCCAAAGATAAAATAATTTTTTTGAAGAAGTATTGACCTGTCTTTCAAAGGAATGGTTTGTGATGCGGAAGATTTTGGGAGCTCTGCAGAAGAAGTATTGATGTGTGGCAGTGATAGACAGCAGATTTGCTGAGAGAGGTAAAATTATGAAACTTGACCCATTTTTCACATTACTTTTTAAATAAAAAATTATTTGAAGTATTATATTGAGGAACCTGTAAGGAATTACTTATTCCATAGAATAGGAGTCTTTGTTAATCTTGATGTCTAGTTTAAAAAATTGAAAAAATTGTGAGCTGTTGCTGAGAAATTCTACAGGATCTTGGTGGAAAAGCTGAGATAAATAGGCATTTATATTTAAACCTACATCTGAAGTGAAAAGAACAATGCCAGCAGAATGGTGAGCAATGCTTTTGTTTTGTTTTGTTTTTTTAATGAAGGCTTTTGTAATTGTATAAAGGGAGGATGGTCTTTCAGTGCCTTCCAAGCTTGAATGCTTAATAATAATGGTGCTTGGGAAACAGAAGAGTTGCTGTTTTTTCTCAGTGATTTAGACATGTAGTTTAATGGTAAGGATTTTACCCTTTTCCTAATAATAATTTTATTTATTTATTTATTTATTACAGACTGATATAATAAAAGATTGACTTCGGGCACTTAATCTTTTTTGCTTGTTTGCTGGCCTTTGCTTTTGTAATAGATCAATCTTTGATCTTAGAATACCCGTATCTTTCTATATCTCATTAGAAACAAAGCTTGCACACTAGAAGTGATGGTTATGATACTAAATATTATTTGTATTTGAAAATTACATTCATAATGCCTGTAGTTTCCAGTTTGTCCTAGTTTCATATCTTGTTTATTTTAGGAATGACTTCGGGCACTTAATCTTTTTTGCTTGTTTGCTGGCCTTTGCTTTTGTAATAGATCAATCTTTGATCTTAGAATACCCGTATCTTTCTATATCTCATTAGAAACAAAGCTTGCACACTAGAAGTGATGGTTATGATACTAAATATTATTTGTATTTGAAAATTACATTCATAATGCCTGTAGTTTCCAGTTTGTCCTAGTTTCATATCTTGTTTATTTTAGGAATGTGTTACTTGCTGAATATCCAGTCACTGCATCCTGTTTCTTATGTCTTGTTGATGCTACAATTTTTTAGGTGGCTATTAAAGAGGGATGCATGAGATGCCAAGAAAACAATGATGTCTCAGTTATACATAAATACAAAGTAGAACAAGTACAGGTAGTCCTTGCTTACCGACTACTCGTTCAGCGACTGTTTGAAGTTACAACCAGTGCTGAAAAATGAGATTTATGACTGGTCCTTGAAGTTGTGGCTGTTGCAGAGGTCACGTGATCATGATTTGGGCACTTGGCAACCGGTGTGCATTTACTATGGCCACAGCATCCCGTGGTTACGTGATTGCCATTTATAACCTTCACAACCAGCTTCTGACAAGCATAGTCAATGAGTACGTAGGCAGGAAGTTGCAAGTCATGGTCACATGACATTGCATTTAACAACTGTGCCGCTTAGCAATGGAGTTAATGGTCCCTACTGCGGTCAGTGAGGACTATCTGTAATGAATTTGTGTACCTTGGTAGAATGCTGACTAAAGACAGAAAACATTTAAAATGGCGTAACAGGATGAGTAGTATGTGGTTTCTCATGAGGATTGTATGTTAAAACAGGTGAAACGGCGATGGATATGAGTATACTTAATGCCCAGTTTGTTATATGGAAGTTCAAGTTAAGCATGAAGTTGATGAAGTCATGAAAAAAGAAAGTTGAGAAATTTAACAAACAAAAGGCAAAATATTAAATACAATATTAATATGTGGAAGATGGTTTGCTTGGATAGGAAGAGATGGATAGGTATTGTGAATAGTGTTGCTGTAAACTAGCTCTATAGTCCATTTTTGTTATTTCATACCTTAAATTTCTATATCTTACTGTTTCTTTAGCCTTTTCTACATTCTGTATATTTATTTATTTATTTATTGTATTTCTATAGCTGCCCATCTCACATAAAAGAAAATAATATTGCTTACCCTGAAAGAAAATATAATGTATTTATGTGCTTATACATACATGTGTATGAAGCTTCTGTAATTGATTTTGGAAAGTTGGTGTGTGTGTGTGTATTAAAAATTTGTCACCGTCCATCTCGTTAGAAAGCGACTCTGGGCTGTTTACAGAAGAGATAAAATCCATTAAAATACAATATAAAACCATCTTAAATAATAAATATATTCCAAGGGATGATAAAATTGGCGAACAGCTCAGGGAGTGTTATCAAGGCGCCAACCACCCCCAGGATTGATTACAACTCTTGTCGCCCCATCCAAGCTGACAGAACCAGTTCTTAAGTCCTTTCTGGAAAACCGGGATGGTAGGGGCCCACCGCACCCCTGGGGGAGAGTATTCCCAAGGACTGGGGCAACGGCAGAGAATGCTCTGCTCCTTATCTAAACTTCATGTGGCAAATTTATGTTTTGAGTTCTCCAGTATAATTTTCTTCTCCTAAATACGGAAGACAGGGTTTCATTTGGAATAAAAAGGAAAATGTTGAGGATCACAAATCATCCTTTGCCAACCTGCCGCAGTCCAGCATTGGCTATGCTGACTGAGAGTTCTGCCCATTATCATTCTAACACATTTGGATGGCATCAGATTAGACAAGGCTGCATTATTTCTTCAGCTTTACCAAGTAGAAAAAAGAAACTACTTTGATTTTTTAAAAAGTCTGCCTTGAGAATGTATCATCAGAATTACATGAATGGCTGGGATTACATATGCTAAATCATAAATTGTATTTTAGAATCTGAACTGATTGGATTCATGCTGTTTTAAGTCACACTAACTGTATTTATGGCTTATTCAAAGTGAGGTTCCAGTAAATAGTAGCTATTATTCTTTCTGCAAGTAACAATAGCTGGAGGAGGTAAAAGATTTGGATTGGGTCAGTGATAAGGAAAAAAGGTCAATTTTGTCTCTTCTGTATAGCTGCAGTTAAAATAATTTGCATTCACATCTTGTTGTATTTAGTAAGATTGAAAAAATATGGCAAGTTTGTCAGAAAGCTCCCATATATATGATAGGTTAAATTATTTGTTTGTTTTTCAGTGGGTTTTGCAATTAGTTGCAGTTCTGTTGCTATGTGTACAAAGCACATATTTAAATTAATTCTCATTATGGTAAGCATTATGTCAAATGCTGCAATAATAGAATTTGAACTGAGCAAGAATTGATTAAAAAAAGCAGAAACAAATGTCATGTGGATGGCACCAGAAACTTCCCATGACATTTTACAAAATCTTTGCTGAAAGATTGTATTGTTGTAGTTAACAATTGCTGGTCCTTAGGCAAGCTATGCAATGGTACTTTCAGCAGAATAGAGTCAACTGGAGCCTCTCCCCTGCCCTGACAGTGTGCTGCTCCCCTTCTCATGAACACAACTTGCTTTCAGTTAGAGTTTTAACTATGATCAAATGGAATACTCACCCACATACAGAATGAAAACCAAAAGTATAGCTTTGACATCGTTTTGCAAAATAGCTTTTCACAAGCAAGTAACAAATTCTGACAGAAGTTAGGGCAACGCAAAAGATATATATCAGAACATATTCAGGCAGTGCAGAAAAAGTATAAGTACATTGTATATGCCTCTGATATATAATCTATAATTTAATTACTAGTGGTGTTATGTCAGCTTCCCTAAAGAGTCAGGCTTCTCTCAAGGAAAGCAAAATTGTTAGAATCTTATCTACTTGTTCACTGTATCTAATCTGGTGCCCAGTTGCAGAGCCCTAATTAAACATATGAATGTCATCCAGTGACATTCCACCAGAAACTGATTGATTTGAGTAATAAGTGATTTGTAAAGTCACAACAATTATGAAACAAATCACAAAAAATGTTTAATGTATTTTGAACAACATTAAACACTGTCCTGGTCATTGTAGTGGAGAATGGGGAGGAATAAACTGAGTCTATTGTTTGTATGCACAAGCATCATTTAGACCTAATTTTTAATAGCTTGTGTTCAGGGTGAATTCCAGGAAGCTTGATGATGTGTAAGGTGGCTTTGAATATTTGATACAGTTTATGCAGTGATGGTCATATGTGTTCCAAAGTATGGATTCTAGACTTGGTGATCCAAATGC